TGTTTACTCATAATTTTACAATAAATAGGATAGTGCCACGTATCATCCATGTTGGTAAATATTTCATTAGTCGAAGGTTATTGTGTAAATCTCTTTGGTAAAGTTAAGTGGTTATTTCCACAATAACAGCAAATCCATTCGGTTGTTGCGAACTTTCAAGATGATTATCGACAGCTCCAACGGATAAATTTGTTTGTTTTAAATTTCACGCTGTTGTTGGTTTTTAAGATACTACTGCAGATTTTCACCATGTTACCAAGGTGCTATAAATACCGAATAATGAGATCAAGCAAAGGACAGACCTCTCACACAGTAAATTTAGCACAATTTCTTTTATGCTCAGGTTCATTTTAATCTCAAGCCTTGTAATTAAGTTTTAACTTTTAGCTTTCAACTTTAGTTAATGACTTTGTCTTTAGAAATCCCAAAAATTAGTTGTAGTTCTCCTTAGCAGCAATTCAGTTCTCCTTTTGTTGATTTTATAATGGTAAGTTTTGTTGCCTTCATTAATATTTCTTTATAATCGATTGCTTCTTTTCTTTTTTGTTTTCCAAGTTTCTTTTAATTTAATCAAATGATGCCAACATTTAATTTCATGTTCAATTTCATTTTTGCTAATTTATATTTCATGTTGCTAGTAAATTTTCTATGTTTCGAGTTTTATTTATTTATTTATTTTTGCGATTAAATTTCCATTTAGAACTCTATTTTAATCCAATGTGCGTATTTAAGGTTTCATTTAAATTTTAAGTAGTTTGGTGATTATTTATTTTTCTTGCAATCTTAATTTTTGTTAATTACATTAGTTTGAAGAAATCCTTCAAATTATATTCAGGGCATTTTGCCATATAATCCATTTAGTTCATAAAGTTCATCCCTTGTGTTTGTCAATCATTTGATTTTCAAAGTGTAGTTTACGATGTTCTCCCATTAACTCACAAATTGAGTTTCACATTTGGAAAGAATAGAGAGTCGCCAAAGAAAGTTATTTTATTTTAAACAAAGCAAATGACACGTTATTTCATTTGTTACGTGTTAAGGAGATTTTTCGAGATAACAGAAACTCAAGAAATTTATCTTAATTGGTTTGTCCTGGTCTTTTCTTCCCCCTTTTTTTTGTTCAATTCTCTTACTGGATCATTTGTTGAGCTGCTGGACGTTCGTGGCGGGCGTCATGTCGGTGCGATCTTTTTGTAAGAAGACCATATTTCCTGCAATTTTTGTTCATCTTTAGAAAAATGAAAATAACAAAATAACGAAAAGAAAAAAAAAATAAAGACATCTTTAGTGCTAGTATTAAAAATGTCAAATGTTTGATATTTCACATCCTCAAAAGAGAGAGTAAATAGTAAAAAATGAGTTAAATAGAATTTAAAAGCTAAACATTGTTACAAATAATGGGGACAAAGTTTGTATTAAAAGCAAAATAAATAATAAGGAATAAAAATTACCATAGTTTTTATTTTTATTTTTTTATATGTACAATAGAAAATAACCTTCTTTCTTTCAAATCTATTTTCACCCATTTCAAAATTTAAATTTAAAATCTTTAACATATGATAAAAAAACTCAAATTGTTATTTATTGGAAGGAGACGATACAAAGTCTTTACTAAAAGCTAAATGTCGTTCCTTTACACACACAACCTTTACCAGAGAAGCATTATCTGTTTCAGACCGTCAACACTCTCCTGTCTGACCATGCAATGTATGTGTAACGTGCCAAGTTCTCATTCCATTTATTTATTTATTTTTCTGTAGAATATATAGTAACTACTAATGAACAGTGTCTACATTATTGAACCATATCCATGCTGAAATCCCAGAGTTTATTGGCCAACTCGGGATCCCTACCCTTCTCAGTTGCTTGCCCGATGTTACTGTCCTTGAAATATTCACCTGATACTCCCTTTGCTTGTGGATGCAATGCCACATAGCATGTGGTAGCAGCTCCCTATAATCATGCAAAGAAACAAGTTCAGATACATGCATTCCAAAAACCAAATGAAGCTCTTTGATAGTTCCATAACAAACGTGAGATCCCTGGATTTTCAAGTCGATTCTAATTTCAGCCTTGTATATTTACGTAAATTTTTAGAAGGTTCAGGATTAAACTCAGAATCTCAATTTAGTTGACACATGAAGAATGATGAAAGCTTCAACAGGTGAATAAT